CCCTTTCTTCACTACCTCAATGGATTTTGGACGACCATCGTCCTACCTCTGGTTATTCCTATTGTATGTAGGGCAGGTGCGACCCTTGCCGGTCGTTACCCTGCGTTGAATGGGCCGTTGTTCCTGGCCCTGGTTACTACCCTCTTCTTTTCCCCCATAGGACTTTTGAGGCCCGTACTGTCTTTTGCTTTAAGGACGAAGTGGTGATGATATCTCGAAATAAGTAAAATTTTACCACAAGTACGCGAACTGACCAAAATGCGTCTTTTATTTACGAAAAGAAGCGTGAAAATCACCTCTTTCACTTCCGATTCATTCAAAAAATTTTGAACATTTCCATCTGTGAAGGCAATCAGCGCTGAGCGGCGGGCAAGTTTCTGAGCACGGGCAAGATGACTTTTATAGGCTGGCCAAACAATTTCATCCACATACCTCAAATGTTACCAATAACTTTTTTATTTTGTAAAACATCTCTCCAAGTAGTGGATTTTCATTTTTGCGGGTACCACTCAATAATATGTTATACCATTCTATATATCTAGTTAATTATGTCTTTGTTTCAAAATTCCAGGAATTTTAGGACCTCCTGCACGATCAGTGTGGGACTCAACGTTAGAAACAATAGACCAGAAGGGTTATACTCAGTTGTCATGTGTAAGGTGATATTTTACGGTACAAACTGTCTTTCATCCTTTAGATGTAGTAGTAAGGTGATATTTTACAATGCAGTCTAGGATATTTCCATACATTACTGGGATACTTCCAAACGTCGAGAACACTTTATACCAAAATCTGATCCAGAACTGCACAGTTCCAGTTAGTACCCATCACCTATTCGATGTATGTGCACCAATAATAGAGTGGGAGACAAGCGATCAGCCCAAAAATCATATGCAAGAAGACATTTTAGGATGCAGTCTCTGTTTCACCCTGTGTTTCATCCCTTAGCTGTAAACACAAACTGAACTCAGTGCGCGGTAGGAGTAATAATCACTAGTGCAGCCTTCTACCCACCATATCTGTGACATGCATATTCATGTTCAAAACTAAAACAAGATTAATTACGAATAAATTCTACAGTACTACCTTACCCTGGTAGATCCGGCGGATTGTAATTTCGTGTTGCTCGCCTCTCTTCGCATATCCCACGTCTTAGTGTTACAAATACAGCACGGTGTATAAGTTTTTGCAAACTCTCAATTTGCAAGATCATATTTCCTTCTATAATTACAAAATCGTTCGCAACAATTGCTTCTTCCAAAGTCGATAAGAAATCATCGACATTGATCTAAAAAAAATGAACCCAGTTGGGAATCAAAATACAAAACTTTGGACAATTTTTAAGGTTTCATTCTTCGTAACGAATATTTTCCTACAGATTTAGCCGAGGCTCTAAAGATATTTGGTACATATAGATCAGATGTAATTCATATTCTAGTTCTTCTATTATGTAATGGCATTTTTCTAGTAATCTTAGCTGATGTTACATCGCCTGTTGATCAGAGTTCTGGCAAATCTAGCTTACGTTTCTTCTCCTGTACAGATTATCGCGAGATACTGTGTCATCTTAGACACTTTCATTCCCAGAACACAGTTTTGAGGTTGGTACTTTACCAATAAAAAATGAAAAAAATTTAAAACATCCTTAAAATGAAAGAAATAAAAAATTTATGAATGCCCTGAAGATAAGAAAGGCAAAATACTTAAATTTAAGGGGTCGATTCAGTAAAATCAACTTATAAATAGGTCGGAATTAGGAAATCAGCTAGAAATTTACCATCGTCGAAAAATACTCACTACGCTGTATAAACTTGATAAATACCTATCTACAAAGACATAAATGTACCGCTTCCACGGTGTCGAAATTAAGATATTGTATCTCAGGATTGGAACGACTTGCTACAGAATTCGTATGTTCTTCATCGCGATAATAGAAAGTATCCTGTGAAATCACAATTGTTCGCATACCCTCTTTCGAAAGCTGAAATTACGGAACGAAGAACTGGATGACAATGGATTATCATAAAATTATGACTCCTTTTTGAGCTACTGAGAATGCAAATTATGCAAGGGTTTTTTGTTTTTTAAGAGGCAAAATCAATAATTTTGGAAAATTACCATCGTAGCAAGAGTGTTCGCAAGCGTTGTTTTACCACTATTTGTACAGCCAGCAATGCCAATTACATGGGCATTACAATTTTCGGAACCATCAACTGTTGTATGTCGTCCAGCTGCACCGGCAAAGTCTTTCATAATTTTCGTCACTAAAAAGAAAAGCAATTTTAAAGTTGAAGGTTCGTCCCTGAATTTACAAGGCAATCCGACTTAACTTTGCAAAAATTTTTGGAAAAATTCAAAAAATTCGAAGACGTTTGATTAAAATCAGCCCAAAATTCAAAACTTTCTTCGTGTTTAATCATTATGAGAGGCAAAAGCATTCAGAAGTAACCGGAATAATGGAGCTTGCCAAGAACAATCACGCGCCAAGGCAAGGCTGCTGATTGTTCCCTTTCCCTTGGATTACTTAAGAACAAAACAATGGCAGTTCCGGTATATTCCAGTGCTACTTTACCTTCAAAACAAATGCACGAACAGTAAAGAAATAGGTTCCCCCTAGGCAAAATCAAATCCTCTTTCTTGTAGTACTTTAGCGGAAGTAACGCGAAAAGCCGGCAACTGTTGAAAGGGTGTGCTGCACAGGCGGATCTATAGGGGAGATGCCATACATACAGATTATAGGTGCACACACAACAGGCGCGTGCAGCACACACGCCGCGTGATGTAGTGGATTAGCGCGTTGAATTTGGATGTGAAGGAGAGTGGTTCGATTCCCTGCACGTCAACAAGCGCGTGCAGCACACACGCCGTGTGATGTAGTGGATCAGCTCGTTGAGTTTTGATGTGAAGGAGAGTGGTTCGACTCCGCCGACTGGCACGCCCAATTTTGATGTGAAGGAAAATGGTTCGATTCCCTGCTGGTTATCAATATTCATTTGCAAAAGAAGCTCTGCTGCAAGAATTATGGCAGAGGAGCAATTTTTTGTTGTGCGATAATTATTTTTAGAAAAGAATGGAAAAAAATATTACTTGAAATATCCGTTGTTTCTGACATTCTTTCAGGAGCTTTACGACAACAAAGGCGCACTTTACTGGGAATACATAATTGTTCTGGAATAAAGAACAGCCATGGCAATCGACACAAATTATCCTGGAGATCAATTATCACATCATTTCTGAAAATTGATGATTTCACTCAAACGAGCTAGTCGAATCTTAGGTTTTCGTGGATTTTTCCGTTAAAAAAAAAGCTGTAGCTACCATAGCTCATTTTGCTAAGACATAGGACGAAAGGAACGCAAAACCCTCATTCTCACCATTTTCCAATCTTTCGAATCGTGACTTGCTAAA